ATCTCTCCTAAGTTGTGCTCACTGCTGCAACCTCAGCTAGTCCAACTCTACCTTTGGGGTATCCCAATAGCATATGGTATTGTCAAGGCTGAGGGACATGTTGTCTTTCCTGAAGTTTCCTCAGGCCAGATACCACACGTTAATCTTAGCTACTCAGGAAACTGAAATCTGAAGATTGAGGTTTGAAGCCAGCCTGGGCAGAAAAGCCCATGAGACTTTTATAATCCAATTAGCCAGCAAAAAGCCAGAAGTAGAGGTGTGACTCAAGTGGCAAAACAACAGCCTTAGGCAGGCAGAAAAACCTCGAGAGAGGTCAAAACCTGGAGTTCAAGACTTCTTACTAGTCACAAAGCCTTCCTAGGTTCTGAACTCTAGAAACATCTCTCCTCCCCTTCCCACATCTCTACCTCCAACATCTGTACAATAGAATCAGCTTCCAAGGTTCAAGTATCAGTTCTGCATCCTATCAGCCTCTAACCTCTCTGAACCTCAGTTTCCCCACCTCTAAAATGGAGGTGATAAACTGGGTTCTGGTGGTTCATGCTTATAATCCTAGTTACTCAAGAGGCTGAGATCTGAGGATCTCAGTTTGAAGCCATGTCTGAGTAAGAAAGTCTGTGACACTATTATCTCCAATTAACCACTAGAAAATCAGAAAGTGAGGCTGTGGCTCCAAGTGGTAGAGTAATAGCCTTGAGTGAAAGAGCTCAGGGACAGTGTCTTCAGCCCTCAGTTCAGCCCCACAACCACCCCCAACAATAACAAAGTAAAAGGAGATGATAAAAAGAGAAGCTTAAAGCTGGGTGCTGGTGGCTCATACCTGTAATCCTAGCTACCCAGGAGGCTGAGATCTGAGGATCTCAGTTCAAAGCCAGCCCCGGCAAGAAAGTCCATGAGACTCTTATCTCCAATTAGCCACCGGAAAACCAGAAGTGGTGTTGTGGCTCAAGTGATAGAACTCACCTTGAGCTGAAGAGCTCAGGGATAATGCCCAGGCCCAGAGTTCAAGCCCCATGACAGAAGAAGAGGAAGAGGAAGAGGAGGAGGAGGAAGAAGAGCAGCAGCACCAGCAGCACCAGCAGCAGCAAGATCAGTATTGTGTGGAACAGCCAAGGGCATCAGGCCAAGGCCAAGCCATCTGCCCAGTGATGGGGGACCTCTCCAATGGCACTGGCCACAGTCACACCGTAGAAAGCCAAAGGTTGTCTTCATGCTGGCCCCCTGCAGGCAGGAGCCTCACATCACAGCACTGAACTGTAATCCATGCAGGCCATTATCAAGCTGGTGGGCAAGCCTCAGTCAGCCCCACCTTCCCATCTGTAAGATGGGTTGGGTGGTATTTGCCTTCCTCAGCAGAGCTAGTGGGTTCCCATGTGTTGAATGGTAGATGTAAGTCACTTCCCTTAATATGACTCATGGTGTAATTGTGCTGGAGGGACAAGGCCACCTGACCACAGCTACACAGAGTTGGAGAAAAGATAGGCATATCAAGCAACGCCAACACTCAGGTGCTGGGAATCAAAATAAAAGGTCTGTCTGCCTGGGCAACGGTGGCTCACACCTGTAATCCAGGATCACAGTTGGAAGCCAGCCCCAGCAGGGAAGTCCCTGAGGAAACTACTCAGAAAAAGTGGTGCTGTGGCTCAAGTGATAGAGCACTAACCTTGAACAAAAGCTCAGGGGCAGCACCCGTGCCCTGAGTTCAAGCCCAAGACTGGCTCAAAAAAAGAAAAAGAAAAGGAAAGAGGGAGGAAGGAAGGAAGGAAGAAAGAAAGGAAGGAAGGAAGGAAGGGAGAGAGAAAAGAAAAGAGCTGTACACTGGTGTCTCTCAAGTGTAATCCTAGCTACTCAAGAGGTTGAGATCTGAAGACTGTTCAAAGCCAACCAGGTAGGAAAAATCTATGAGACACATTATCTTCAATGAACCACCTAAAAACGGAAAGTGGTAGTGCACTACCTTGAGCAAAAAATCTCAAGGACAGCACAGGCCCTGAGTTCAAGTCCCACGACAGACCCAAACCACAAAAATAAAAAGAAGACGGGGAGATTCAACTCCGGAAGGTGGGTGGAGGTCTCTGAGGGAGGTGCTGAGGGCTGTAATTTGAGTTTTCTCCTGGAGGCAGATTTCAACTTGCCCCATGTCATCCACCAATGGAGACCCAGAGACCGGTCCCAGGTACCAGCTTGTCATCCCCTGGTGAGGAGGGGGGGTGTCTGGAGGATCTCGGGGAACGCAGATCCACGTCCCCACTGTCACCGCTCCGATCTGGACGCCCAGGCTTTACTCCCCCCCACCCCCCACTCCCCGGCCCGGCGTGACCCCTGACCCCCGAACCCCCTTGCGGGCCCGGGCCAGGCGGGGCGGGGCGGGGCTGGGCGCCGCGGCTCCCTCCCGGCCGCAGTGCGGCCGCAGCGCCGGCCCCGCCCCCGCCCGCTCCTTCCCCCCCTCCCCCTTCCCCTCCCCCCAGCGGCCGCGGCCCCGAGCGGTTCCGGAGCCCAGGCCCGCGCACCAGCCCAGGTGAGCGCCCGCCCCAGAGACCCCCCGGCCCCGGGGACCTCGGGCCCTACATCACCACCCCTGCCCCGCATCCCTGCGCCTCGGGGCAGAGCGCGCACTCGCGCGTGGGTCTCGGACCCGGGGTCGATGCGTTGGGGGGGGTTGGGGGGAGGATCAGCTGCTGGGACTAGATGAACCCACCGGGTGTGGAGCCCCCTCTCTTGTCCCTCCCCCCGCCCGGCTGGCCCTCCGTCCTCCCCCGGCCCCGGGCCCCCCGCGGAGCCCTCCCGTGCACCGGCCCCCCTTGCCGGGGTGCTAGGGTCTGGCGAGGTAGGGGTGACCGGGATGCAGCAGCGGTCTGGAAAACGGCTTCCCAGACGCAGGGAGCTGCACGTGCGAAAGCAGGGAGAGTGGACAGCAGGCTGGAGCGCCACGGGGGGAGCTTGAAGCCGGGGACCGAGGCGATCAGACGCCATCCCCGAGCGTTCCCGGAGCCGCTGCGGCGGAGCAGGAGTCTCCCCGCTCCCGGAGATGAAGGAGTGGGATCGGGAGGGGGGCGGCCGGCAGAGGAATGGGAGAAAGGCTCCCATCAAAGGAGCTAAGGAAGCTTCTGCCGATCCCACTCCTGCGGGGTCCCCGGAAGCCCTGCCCCCGAGCATGGGTACCTCTGTGAGGGGGGATCAGTACCCGCCGCACAGGTCGGCGGTCCTTGGACCAAGATACAGGCTTCCTGGTTGGCGTTTACACCAGGCGCTGAGAACGTTTCAATAATGGGCAGCTTGGAGCGACACAGAGTACTCAGCAAAAACTTGGGGGCCCCTCCCATCAGGGTGAGGCAAAGATCTTCGCCTTTGAAGTTGGGTCCAAGCTATTCTCCCCACACAATAGGTGAAAGGCAAGGGCCCCACCAAATCTTCTTCCAGGCTGAACCTCTGGACATCAGGGAAGGGAGGGAGTCTGGCCAGGCCCTCGGGGGTCACCCCTCTCCCCTCAGTAGGACTAGATCCTACACAGCAGGTAAGTTCTGAGCAAGAAGGTGAACAGGACTGAGCCACAAGTGAAACCAGGACCTCAGCCAGAGCTCCTTGGCGCCCAGGGAAAGGGGCAACTGGCAGCTCAGTTTTATATACTGGATGACAAGTGAGGGAAAGAGCTAAGGCACCCCCAAGTGGCTCTGGTACCTCCACTTTAACAGGCAGGTAAGATGAAGGGCCAGGCAGGAGTAGGCCTTCCCCTCTTCCTCCCCCCCCCCCCCCCCCCCCCCCCCCCCCCCCCCCCCCCCCCCCCCGGCTCTCAGGCACCGTTCAACAGCCTTCCCTGGGGTCTCAGGAAAACCTTCCAGGGGAAATGGAGGGCTGAAGACGGATGGAATGTGGAAAAGTCCCTGGTAAACAGGGCAGCAAATGCCTTTGTCCTGAGCCTTCCAAAGTCCACTGTTAAGCCCCATCTTTGGGAAGGCTCACCTTGTGACCCCGAGGCCAGCTCTGCTGCAGTGATCTTTCTGTTGACCAGGTACCCCCATCCCCCAGCTGGCGCCTTGCAAGGCCATAGGTAGTATGGGCGCCTCCTAGAGCCCTGCCCATCTTAGACTTAAGATAGGTAGGGGATTGACATGGCACACAGATTCCCCTGCCTCCCCCTCGTCCCCCGCAACACCTGCTGCTTGACCTTGGCAAGACCTTGGTTTCTCAGTTTCTCCATCCGCTGTTGGACATGACCCTAGCACCACAGAATGGGATGGAGGGGGGCGGTGCCTTATGGCTGCTGCGCACAGGCCGTGGCAGGGCTGTCTGCCTGGCTTCCCTCTCCCCCAACCCCATTAGTCCTGGGCTGGCCGCCCACTTGTTCACCATGGAGCTGGGTTTCCCTGGGGACCAGTGGACTGGCCTAGCCCCACACCCCCAGCCCCTCCTGGCCAAAGCTTCTACTAGGAGGAGGGGGGAGAGGCTGTGTGGCTTCCTGGACCCCTGCCCTCCCTGCCCTGCCTTCCAAGGCCAGGCAGCCTCTGCCATTACTGGACTAGGAGCAAGGAGCAATGGCTGCCCTTGGAGGAGGTGGGTGTCTAGTGGTCACCATCCAGGGTGGAGGCAGACACCAGGGACAGCTCTGTGTCACTGTCATTGGAGGAAGGACTAGGAGGGCTCTGGCTTGCTCAAGGTGTCCCAAGTGTTGATGGCCTTCTGGGAAAATGGAGGGTCTCAGAGTTATGGGATTTGGAGAAGGGAAGTTGTAGGCTGGTGGGGGGGGCGGGCGCTGAGGATTTCTGGACAAAGCAGTTCTGGGGCTGGACAGAAGGTGACCAACATTGGAGCATAGAGGAGTCTCCCAGTAGTGGACATAGCCTGTGCAGAGAAGGAGGGGAGTATGAGGTACTGAGCCCAGAGGGTCTTAAAGGAAGGTGTCCTGCATGGCCCCTACATGCAGCTCTCCCAGAAACTCCTAGTCTGTCTTTGTTTCTATCCCCCCCCCCCCCACCCAAGACCTGTCTTGCCGCCTCCAGTGTCCCCTACAGGTCCTTGAGGCAGCTCCGGCTGGGATGGCTTCTCCAGCATCTCTAAGGGCTGAAAGGAGCCCAGCTCCGTGGGAGGCACCCTAGGCCTCTGAGAAGGACTTCCCAGCCATCCGTGCTCCTGCCGCCCTCCAGTCTTCAGGCCACTCGCCATGGGTGGCTGCTTCTCCAAGCCCAAGCCAGGTACCTCCTCTCCTCTTAAGTCCGCCTCCTCCTCCTCCTTTAGCTCTTCCTCCTCCTCCTCCTCCTCCTCTCTCCACCACCCTCCCTCCTCCTCTACCTTCCTCCCCTCCCCCCTGCACTCCGCCAGCCTCCAAAGTAGGTCAGGCTAGGCAGGAGCCCGGAATGTTAATGCGCTGTTAGATAGGAAGGGGTGAGGGGGGGCCGGAGAGGTTCTTCAGGACCCCTCACTGCAAAATGCCCCTCTCTATTTGGGGGTTGGGTGCCCATGGCAGGAATAGCAGCTGAATCCTCCTTGAAGCAGGGAGGAGAGGACCCGTCCTATTGCCAAGTTGGAGGGGCTTTAGGGATGTCTTCAGCCATGGCATGACCTCTCTGAGCCTCAGTTTTCCTCTATATGATGAGACTGTCTACCCTGACCTTTCTAAATTGCTGGAAGGATAGATACAGTAGTAGTTCCAATGCCTTTATTTACCTGCCTTATTGACCGGCTGTGTGATCCTAGACTGCCATCTCAGCCTCTCTGGGTAGCATCCCCTTTCTACAGAAAGGCCCTGCTCTGCCTAGCCTAAGGGCTCTACCACAGAATGGACCATTGCAGGGTGCTAAGGAAATGGAGATCTGCTCTTCCATTCGAAATGATGTGTGTGGGGTTCCCCCTCTGATCCCCACTTTCCTACTCCCTCTTCACAATATCCAGGGAGGCAAGGCATGAAGCCATGACAGGGATGGAGAAACTGAGTTCTGGGGAGCCCTCCAGAGTCCAGCTAGTACTCCACCCACCTGTACCCAATTTGCCCCTGCCAGCTCACCCCGGATCCCCTTACCTGATACCTATCGGCTCCATTACCTTGGAACTTGTGAGCCTTTTCTCCTTTTTCCTGGGTTTGAAGGAGAACCTGGGGGAGGGAGAGGAGCTATGATGTGTTGCCTGGCAGATAGCCTGCTTGCCCCTGCCCCTGAATCCTCTTTTCCTCCTCTTCTACTGCTGTGCCATGGACACCCAGAACTGGGCTGGGTTTGCTCCTCCTGGCTTGAGCAAATGAGGTCTATCGTTATTATCTTTAAGTAGTTGTACGAAGGGGTCTCAATTCAACATGTCAGTTTATGAGCACAATGCATGTTGATCAGTGTCTCCCCTTTCAATTTCTGTCACACTTTGGTCTCTGCCTTCCCTCTTCAGAAGCGGACAGGGGGATGCCAGCTGGCCACTCACTGGGCACCTGTAGGACTGCTGGGCTGACAGGAGACCCTGGGCAGAATATGTCACCTGCAGGTTCTTGTGTGTGTGTGTGTGTGTGTGTGTGTGTGTGTGTGTGTGTGCCAACCAGTACTGGGGCTTGAACTCTAGGCCTCATGCTCTCAGCTTTCTTTGCTCACAGCTGGCACTCTACCACTTGAGCCACACCTCCATTTCTAGGCTTTTTCTGGATAATTGCAGAGTCTCACAGACTTTGCTGCCTGAGATGGCTTCACTCTGCAATCCTCAGATCTCAGCCTCTTGAGTAGCTATAGGCAATAACCACCAAGGTCTCAGATACAGGTTCTTTTAAGGACCCCAAAGGGTTGGCCTGTTTGGGACCACAGGTGACTTTGGTGTGGTCTGTCTGTCTGTCTGTCTCTGCCTCCCCACCTCTCCCTCCCTTCATAAGGTGTAGAAAGCCCAACAGAGCCCACTTCCCTTTTCTCTTTCTTTACAATATCCAGGCTGGCAGGACATTCCTCCCTCCCTCTCTCCCTCCCTCCCTCCCTCCCTCCCTCCCTCTCTCTCTCTCTCTCCCTCCCTCCTGCTCTCTCTCTCCTCATTCTCTTTTTTTCCTTCTAAGACAAAGTCTCACTATGTTACCCAGGCTGAGCTCCAATGCTGTTTAGGCATTCTCATAAACCCAGAGGCAGTGCTAAGAGCTTGAACTCATGAGCTCCAATCTAGTCCCGCCCCTTCCTCGCTATGTGGTCTTGGGCAGGTGATAGACCCTCTCAAGTCCTACATGCCCTGATGTATAAAATGGGGTGTTTCACTTAGCATAGGACCTGGCATCCAGGAATCACTTACATTCTCCTGAACTGGAGGCTGGGTTAGTCAGGGGTGAAGCTTAGGAGATTGCAGGAGATGGGCATGAGATTTCAGTAGAGGTTAGCTGGGGCCACATAAACAGCAGAGATAGCAGAAGACCCTTGGGCAAACATTTATCCTTCCACTCCTCTCTGCTCATCTGTCTCTGTGCACTCTAGCACCTGCTTCCTGAGCTCCCTCTGAGCTTGCTCCCTAGAGTGCTGTCCTGGTGTTTTCTTGTTCCTGATAAGATGCTAGGCCAGTTCCTGCTGAGCACAAAACAAGGAAGAAGGACAGCTTCTTTTTATTTTTTTGGGGGGGTCCGGTCGTGGGGCCTGAACTCTGGGCCTGGGCGCTGTCCCTCAATTCTTCAGCTCAAGGCTAGCACTCTATCACTTGAGCCACAGCGCCACTTCCGGCTTTTTTTTCCCCTGCTTATGTGGTGCTGAGGAATCAAACCCAGAGCCTCATGCATGCAAGGCAAGCGCTCTACCACTGAGCCACCTTCCTAGCCCCAGGACAGCTTCTTTTGACATCTAGTTTCTTATTTTTTATTAGGCCAGAAATGCTACCTGGAGGCTTTTGCTTTTCACTATGGCTGCTAGGAGGCTCAGAGCTAGTTGATAAAATGAAGGCTGGGGTGTAGCATAGTGGATAGAGTGAGTGTTCAACATGTGAGAAGTCCTGAGTTCAATTCCCAGAATCAAGACAAACCAAAATACACTACTTCTTCCCAATTATACTCATTAAGCTTCCATTCTATACACATACACACACAGGCGCACGCACACGCACACACACACACACACACACACACACACACACATGCAAATACATGGAGTTACGTTCTATATATACACGTATGGAATATATATACATACATATATATGTAACAAGTAAATGCTATTCCCTCAGGATTTTTGTGTATTTGTGTGTTGGGTGACGTGCTGGTTTAAACCTAGGGCCTTGTACATGCTAAGCATGGACTCTGTCACTGAACTACACCTTTAGCCTCTCCTCTCCATTTTATAACTAAGGAATCTTGAGGCCCAGAAGGGTAAAGCAGGGTCTTATGGGCAGCTGGGGATCCTGGAGCTGCGGTTGGTCTGGCTATGTGAGCAGAGACACCCTCCTCACCTGCCTTTCTGCCACTGCTCTTATTTATTTTATTTTTTGGGTCCGGTCGTGGGGTCTGAACTCTGGGCCTGGGCGCTGTCCCTCAGCTCTTCAGCTCAAGGCTAGCGCTCTACCACTTGAGCCACAGCACCACTTTCAGCTTTTTTCTTTTTGCTTATGTGGTGCTGAGGAATCGAACCCAGGGCCTCATGCATGCAAAGCAAGAGCTCTACCACTGAGCCACCTTCCCAGCCCTCTGCCACTCCTCTTGACTTAATGGCATCCTGCATGGCTGTATCAGGAGCACTGTGCATACTTCTGGAAGAAAGTGGAGAGGGTGGGAGCAGCCCGGCTTGGCGTCATCTGCCCACCCCCTCCCCTCCCGGCCAGGCAGTTCCTGTGGACTCCCACAGCTCTCTTCCCTGATGTCAGCTGAGCCTTAAGTATTTTTCTTTTTGATTCTTCCAAAAACATTCTAACACCATGACATCAAGCGTGGAAAATGGAGGAGAAGCCTCTACAGGACACAGCCATCTAGTGGCCTTGTGCACATGAGCACTCCCTGCCAGGCTCAAGTAAAGAGACTGACCTTCACCCCTTCCCCTGCAGTGCCTTGGCTTGAGCTGCAGGCCGGGACTTGCAGATGGGGAAGGGGTCTGGGCCTGAGTGAGGGGATGAGGCAACATGGAGAGGCAACATGCAGGGGCCTGACAGCCAGGGACGCAGAAGCAGCTATGTCTGAGGAGTAGCATACAACCTAGCCAGGGACTGGAGGATGGCAGCCTACTCAAGTAAACGAGGAGAATGGGTGGGCAAAGGCCAGGGCTCAGCAGCTATGTCAGGTGTGAAGTGGAGGGAAGCGGGAACCCAGGCAGCCTGGAGGCACTGGTGCCTTGGGAACTGAGAGAGGAGCCTCTTTCTCCCACATGAGCCCATGCTGTGCCAGGAGCTCAGTTTCTTCCTCCTCCATCTTCCCCCCTGCCTCCCCTCCCTTCAGCAACTCCAGGAGGCCGGATTATCGCTGCTAAAAATTCTGTTTATTGTTCCCTTCTAATTAGAAAAATACCCCAGGCACGTCATAGGGAATTTGGCAAATGCAGAAAAGTATGAAGAACACAACAGTCTCCAGCTAGAGTAGGCCCCGCAGGCACCCGAGGAAGCAAACTGTGAGGGGCTTGTGAGGGGCTGCACACTCTGCTCTGCCCATGTGGACTGCCTGCTCCCCCCCCCCCCCCCCCCGACGCTATACAGGAAGTCGTCACAAATCCAGGACTTGGTAAAAGATGAATGGATCCCAAACTGGTAAGGACAGTTATTTTAAGAAGTTGGGCCAACTGCTGGTGGCTCGCTCATTCCTGTAATCCTATCTACTCAGGAAGCTGAGATCTGAAGATCCAGGTTCTAAATCAGTCTGAGTACATAAATCAAGAGACTCTTATCTTCGATTTACTAGCAAAAAGCCAAAAGTGAAGGCATGGCCTTGAGTGGGGTAGGAGGAAAGGGGAGACATAGTGCTCATAGTACTCTCACACACACACATACACACACAATGTTCAGCTAGGTGAGGTGTTATGGTGGTGCATGGTTATAATTCCAGCTACTTGGGAGGTAGAGGCAAGGGGATTGTAAGTGTGAGGCCAGCCAAGGAAAATTTAGTGAAACTCTATCTCAAACACAAAGCTGGAGGGCTAGGAATGTGGCCTAGTGGTAGAGTGCATGAAGCCCTGGGTTTGATTCCTCAGAACCACATGCACAGAACCAGCCAGAAGTGGCGCTGTGGCTCAAGTGGGTAGAGCACTAGCCTTGAGCAAAAGAAGCTCAGGGACAGTGCTCAGGCCCTGAGTTCAAACCCCATGACTGAAAAACAAAACAAAAAAAACTCGTTCCAGTGATTCATGCCTGTAATCCTAGCTGCTCAGGAGGCTGAGATCTGAGAATCACAGTTTGAAGCCAGCCTGGGAAAGAAAGCATGTGAGATTCTTATCTCCAATAAACTGCCAAAAGCCATTAAGTGGAGCTGTGGCTCTGAGGTAGAGTAGCCTTGAGCAAAAAAGCTTAGAGATAGTGCCCAGGTGGCAAGTTCAAGTCCCAGGACCTGCACACACAAAAAATAGTATGGGATTGTAGAACTCAGGTGGTGGAGGACTTAGAGGACTTGCCTAGCTATGTGAGGCCCTAAATTCATCCCCTAGTACTGGGAAAAAAATGGAATTATGTTGTATACTTTTTCTTTTGGTAGTGCTATGAATCAAAAGAGCTTTGCAAATGCTAGGCAAAGTTTCTAATCCTGAACCACACTTCAGTATTCATCTTTTTTTTTTTTTTTAACTTTGAGAAAACTATTCAAGATGGCCGTTAGGGTTCAATCCTCTAATTGCAGCATTCAAGAGGCTGACTGGGGGATCTTGAGTTAAAGGCTAGCTACCAGCCAGGCTACATAGTCAAGCCCTACCTCAGGAAAACAAAACAATAACAAAATGTATTCAAACCTAATAGTTAAGTTGCAAGAATAGGACAGTGAAGCTGAGTGTGGTAGTACATGTCTATAATCCCAGCTACTTGGGAGGTAGAGACAAGGATTTGAATTCTAGGTAAGCCAAGGCAAAGCAGTTATGTCACTGTCTCAAAACCAAAATAAAAGCTGGGCACTGGTGACTCATGCCTGTAATCCTAGCTACTCAGGAGACTAAGATATGAGGATCTCGGTTCAAAGCCAGCCTGGGCAGGAAAGTCCGTGAGACTCTTATCTCCAATAAACCACTAGAAAACCAGAAGTGGTGCTGTGGCTCAAGTGGTAGAGCACTAGCCTTGAGCTAAAGAGCTGAGGGACAGCGCCCATAGCAGAATTCAAGCCCCACAACCAACCCAAAACAAAAAAACAAGGTTGTTCAAGTCTGCAATCCTCACTATTTAGGAGGCAGAGATTGTGGGATTGTGATTCAAGGCCAACCAGAGCATAAAAAGTTCTCAAGACTTCATCGTAATTAAGGTTGCACAGGATGGCATGTTACCTGTCACCTCAAGCTTGGGAGGAGGAAGCAAAGTAGCTCAGCATAGTGGTATATGCATGTCATCCTAGTGACAAAGAAAAAGACAAATAGGAGGATCACAGACCAGACCTACCCAGGCATGAAGTGATATGTTCTCTTGAAAATGACCAACATAAAGGGAGTGGCAGAGTGGCTCAGTGATAAGGTGCCTTCCCAGAAAGACCAAGGCACTAAGTAAACGCTAGTAGCAAAATTAAAGTAAAATGGCTGGGGGAGTTGCTAAAGTGGTAAACACTTGCCTAGCACATATGAGGACCTTGATTTAATCCCTAGTACCTGGTGGCTCTGTGTGTGTGTGTGTGTGTGTGTGTGTGTGTGTGTGTGTGTGTGTGTGTGTGTGTGTGTGTGTGTGTGTGTGTGTGTGTGTAAACCATGGTCTCTGGACTTCCTCACTCAGATTCCCTGCTGTTTTCAGGAGTCATTCCCACATGTGTCTCTGAGATGCCAGAGGCATCATATTTACCAGAGGATAGGAAAGAAGCAGGATTCTTTCACAGAGGTTGCTGGGGAAGGGACAGTTTAGGGGTGAAAAGAGCCCTAGTCTCTGATCCTCCACTACTTTTACTATTGGTAATGGAAACCCTAGAGGCTGGGAGTAGAGCTCAGTGGTAAGGTGCTTGCCTTAGTGTGGGTTCCACTCCCAGTACTTCAAAAGAAGAAAAGAAAAGGAAAGATATGGAGTTGAATTCAAATAGACCCAGAAAATCTTGCTTGCTGTCCCTCCTCTGTTTTCTGGAGAAGCGGAGGGCTTAGAGGGGAGATGGAGGGGCAGGGCCAAGGGTCCTGCACTTCCACAAAGGGCTCATGGGTTGGCCCTGCCCACAGTGGAGCTCAAGATTGAAGTGGTGCTGCCTGAGAAGGAGCGAGGCAAAGAGGAGCTGTCAGCAGGAGGGAAGGGCAGCCCCCGGGCCTACCAGGGCAACGGCACTGCCCGCCACTTCCACACAGAGGAGCGTCTGCCTGCCCCACACCCCTACCCTGGTCCTCAGGACTGCGTGGAGGCTGCCGTCTGTCATGTCAAGGATCTGGAGAATGGCCAGTGGGTGCTGGGCCTGGGAGGGTGTCAGAGGGCAAGAGATGGAGGTTCTGGATGAGGGGTGAGCCGAGGTGGGAGGTTGGGAGGGGCTTCTGATCTAGGCCTGCTCCCTGGAAGTCTGGACTCTGAAGTAGGCACCCAAAGGAGGATGTGCCTGCATCCTCAGCCTGACCACTGAGTGCAACCCTCTCCCCAGGATGCGGGAAGTGGAGCTGGGCTGGGGGAAGGTGCTGCTAGTGAAAGACAATGGAGAATACCACGCCCTAGGCCACAAGTGTCCACACTATGGTGCACCCCTGGTTAAAGGTGAGATGTTGGGGCACATGTGGAAAGCTGGGTGGGACCATCCCTGCTTTTACTCCAGTAGGCTTGCTTGGCTCCTCCCTAACAATAGCATCTTTTATCTATTACTGGGGTCTCCAGAGCTATGGGGAACACCAGTAGGTGCTGGGGCATAGGGGTCCTTGGAGAGGAGTCTCCAATCTGCCTCACCATCCTCCAGGCGTGCTATCCCGGGGCCGGGTGCGCTGCCCTTGGCATGGTGCCTGCTTCAACATAAATACTGGAGACCTGGAAGACTTCCCAGGCCTGGACAGTCTGCACAAGTTCCAGGTGGGGCTGGGAGTACCTAATGAAAGCCTGGGAGTACAGAGTCATGCCTGATCAACACTTACAGATCGGTCCTGAACACTGATACTCTTGCAGGTGAAGATTGAGAAGGAGAAGGTGTACATTCGGGCCAGCAAGCAGGTAAGGGATGGCTTAGGAGACAGGCAGGGGCAGGCAGGGTATCTAGGCTCAGAAAAATGAACCAGTGAGAGCTGGGTGCTGGTGGTTCATACCTGTAATCCAAGCTACTCGAGGCTGAGTTCTGAGGATTACAGTTTAAAGCCAGCCTGTATAGGAAAGTTTCCAAGACACTTATCTGTAATCATCAAAAAGCTCAAATAAGAGCATGCTAGCCATGAGCAGAAAAAGCTAAGGGATGACACTGGGGCCCTGAGTTCAAGCCCCAGGCTGGGCATACATGTCCCCCCCAAAAAAAAAATAAAAAAGAGAAAGTGGGTGAGGGAAGGAAAACAAGGAGAGACAAAAAAAGAGTGCCCCGGCTCTGGTGGAAGGAAAGCTGGCATGGGAGTAGAAGAGCTGCATGGACATGAGACTGGGCTGGAGCAGCAGGACCTGGTCAGCCAGGATGACACAAGCTTCCAGCTGCTTCCATCCTCCTGCCACTCCCAGGCCCTGCAGCTGCAGCGAAGGACCAAGGTGATGGCCAAGTGCATCTCTCCAAGTGCTGGGCATAGCGGGAGTACCAACGTGCTCATTGTGGGTGCAGGTTGGTGGTAGAGTCATGAGGGGCAGGTTGGGGGTTGAGGATGAGGGAGAAGTGGCTTATGGAGCACAGTCCCCTTCCTTCAGGTGCTGCTGGCCTGGTGTGTGCAGAGACACTGCGGCAGGAGGGCTTCTCAGACCGGATCGTCCTGTGCACGCTAGACCGGCACCTCCCCTATGACCGCCCCAAACTCAGCAAGGTGGGAGAATGGGGACCAGAGGGTCACAGTCAGTGACCTGGATCCCTAACTTACTGGGTCCCTGTCAAGCTCCCTTGGGACTTTACTTGTCATCCTCAGGGACATGTCAAACTGCCCCTCTCCACTCATACCAGGACCATCTGGGATACCCTTAAAAGACCTGGGTTTATTGAGTTCTGTCTTGTGGGCTCCATGTGACCCAGGGCTGGCCTCACTCTCCCTGGGGCTCTGTGTCCTCTGTTGAAAAAGGGAAGTGTGGCCACCTGGCACTGTCTCAAGTTAACTATGTTCTTCAGTCCCTGGATGCACAGCCTGAGCAGCTGGCCCTGAGGCCCAAAGAGTTCTTCCGGGCCTATGGCATCGAGGTGCTCACTGAAGCCCAGGTATGAGGTTATGGGCAAGAAATATCCTAATGAAGGGGTTAATAGCAACCAGAAGGTTCAGGAGGTCATGGTGGCACCTGAGGGGAGGGTTATTCTGCCTTCTGATCCTACTGCACAGACCTGGCCCACAGTACTGTGTGTGTGTGTGTGTGTGTGTGTGTGTGTGTGTGTGTGTGTGTGTGTGTGTGTGTGTGTGTGTGTGTGTATACCAGTACTGGAGCTTGAACTCAGAGCCTTGAACTCTTGCTTGGCTTTTTTTTTTTTTTTTGGCTGAAGGCTGGTGCTCTACTACTTGAGTCACAAACTGGTTAATTGAAGGGAGGTAAGAGAATCATGGATTTTTCTTCCCGGGATGGCTTTGAACTGCAATCCTCAGATCTCAGCCTCCTGGTTAGTTAGGACTAACTACCAGTGATCTGTCAGGTATTCTCGGTGGGATCATGGACACAGGCAGAGTTCCAGGATGTGGGGAGATAGGTGATCAGATCAGTGCCAGAGAGCGTGTCTTCACACAGGTTTGGAGGGGCAAGGCTTACAGAATGAAGGCCCAGGATGGCTTTTCAGAGCCTAGCTTGGAACTGGAAGTGGCCAGTAAGGTCCTGGGCCATCCCCAGATCTCACTCTGCCTTGGGGGTGGAGATTACAGGTGGTCACTGTAGACGTGAGAAACAAGAAAGTTGTGTTTAAGGATGGTTTCAAGCTGGAGTACAGCAAGCTGCTGCTGGCACCAGGGAGCAGGTGGGTGGTCATCCCTCTTGCCCTCTGTTGGGACACTGGATGGGACTCTGGCTAGGCCAAAAGGGTCTCACTGGGTTGCTGTCTCTCAGCCCTAAAAGCTTGAGCTGCAAAGGCAAAGAGGTAGAGAATGTGTTCACCATCCGGACGCCTGAGGATGCCAATCGTGTGGTGAGGCTGGCCCGGGGCCGAAATGCTGTTGTTGTGGGAGCTGGCTTCCTAGGTGAGTGGCTGATACTGTTAACAGAGGTGGGAAGGCCATCATGGCCAGTGCCTGCCAGCTCTGCCACTCCTGCCTACCACCATAGGGATGGAGGTGGCCGCCTACCTAACAGAGAAGGCCCATTCTGTGTCCGTGGTGGAGCTGGAGGAGACACCTTTCCGGAAATTCCTGGGGACCAGGGTTGGTCGTGCCCTAATGAAGGTTAGCCTACCCCCTCGGAAACCCTTGGTGTCCAGCCCAGCTCCCACTACTTACTTGTTTACCTGTCTTGGTAGATGTTCGAGAACAATCGGGTAAAGTTCTACATGCAGACAGAGGTGTCAGAGCTACGGGCCCAGGAGGGAAAGGTGGGCTCTTGTCTTTCCTCACTGCTATGTCCCGACACTCTTCCTGTGCTCCGAGCTAGGCCCACCTGTTCACCTCCTCCCACTCCCCACAGCTGAAGGAGGTCGTGTTGAAGAGCAGCAAGGTCCTGCGGGCTGATGTCTGTGTGGTGGGCATTGGTGAGTTGGGTGGGTAGGCAGACCCAAATGAGCAGAGCCATCACACATTCTTAGACTTGCCTCCCCCATCCCCGAGCCTCAGTTTCCACCTCTGTGAAATGAAGACATCAGTGGTACCCACTTCCCAGGGCTGTTGGGAATCCTGTACCTAACTTACTTGGGCCAGGCCTAGAAAGGAGTATACACCAAATGACTGCTTACAGACTGCTATTCAATTCCATGCCCTGCCCTGTCTGAGCTGTAGGACATAGACAAGCCTTGAACTGATTCCTACTAAAGCTGAAGTGACAGTTGGGGGAGGGAAGGGGAGGTGCAAAACTGGAAGATAGCAGCACAAAGTAGGATAGGTATGACCAGCTGACTGTCCCCTGGGGGCTTCTTGGAGAAGGTGATCCTGAAGTTGGATGGAAGTCAAGGGGTATGGGCAGAGGGGATAGATGTATGAAGGCCCCAGGTGGGTAGCTATGATGATCAGTCTGGGGGCAAGTACAGCAGATGAAGGATGTGGACTATTCATATCTCAGGGTGGGACCAGGTTGTAGACACAGTAGCCTCTGTCCTGTTAGGTGCGGTGCCCGCTACAGGCTTCCTGAGGCAGAGTGGCATTAGTCTGGATTCCCGAGGCTTCATTCCTGTCAACAAGGTGGGGCTGTGGAGTGGGCAGGGGACTGGTTGGGCTAGAGGTGGTTGGAGGTCCGTGTTGGCCCCTGTCCCACCCAGAGAACCCTGGTCTCTCTCCCCACAGATGATGCAGACCAATGTTCCTGGCGTGTTTGCTGCTGGTGATGCTGTCACCTTTCCCCTTGCCTGGAGGAACAACCGGAAAGTGAACATCCCACACTGGCAGATGGCTCATGTGCAGGGTATGGCCAGCCCTGAGGCATGGAGAGGGGTGGGAGGCTATTCCAGGATCTCAGCCTCCTCCAGACTCATGCCTCAGTTTCTGGTCTGGAATCATCAGTCCGGTACTCGGTGGCAGCCTGTCTGGACAGCCTCTTTTAGGTGATCAAGACAGTGCACAGAGCAAGCCCTGTGGTCCATCTCCAGACGCCTGCCTCTAGTGCCCTCTGAATACTGTGTTTAACCAGGCACAACCCCCAGGTGTCTTTCCACTGGTCTTTTCCTTTTTCTCAAAGATACATCGGCACACCAACCTTTGCAGTCACCCTGGAAGAGGGGGAGTGGGAATGAGTAGGCCAGCTTCCCACTCAAGGTCTGTCTCCTTTGGGCCACTGGACTTTCTCTGTGAACTCAGTTGCCTCATGTAACTTTGAATAGCCATCTAGTATAGCTCATTGAGTACATTTCCCCTTGCCATATTTAGTGGCCACCAAGTTCCCTGAGCCTTACCTACTACATTCATCTCTCTAGGCCCTTAAGCTGAAGATTCCTGTAAATTAGCCAGCTCAAGGCCTCACAGACTGGACTGCTGGACTTCTAGTCCAGAACCAGGGATTTTCCCCTTGTACCCACCTTCCCTTTCCCCTTTTACTATCTGAAACCTCATTCCTGGCACCAGTTTCTGTTCAGGGTGTAAAGTTGCTGGTAAGGAACCAAAGGCTTACTCAGCAAAACAGAATTAGGATTTAGAATTTAACTGGGCAGCTAGGTACAGGGAGTGGTTCTCATATATTTCAACTATGGAGTCTGGTAGGGTCTTACAGGAACTGGGAGGCTACACATGCTGTTCTTTCAAATTGTTCCATACCGCCTGCCTGCCATTTCTGCTTCCCAGACCTTTGTACTTCTTTTGGTCCTCTTTCTTTGAACCTGATGTGTCTGATTAGCTGCCAGTGGTCACAGTGAAAATAGAGAAGCTCTCCCACATCCCCAACAAGACCCAGGGCATGTCAATCAAACTCTCCAGTCAGGTGTTTCCCTTTATGAATCAGCTGCACCTGCACGTGGGCCACACCTGTCAGAGCCCCCCCAGAGCGCAGGGGCAGGTAGTGTGGGTGTGGCGAGGGCAAAGGTCCGAGCTTGCACCGCTCTGGGTCTCACAGGGCGCGTGGCAGCCCAGAACATGCTGGCGCAGGAGGCGGAGATCAGCACGGTGCCCTACTTGTGGACTGCCATGTTCGGGAAGAGCCTGCGCTATGCAGGTAACTAGGAGTCTCGCAAGAGGCGGGGCTTAGAGCGACTAGGGGCGGGGCTTGAGAGTAGAGGTGAGGCCTGCAAGATGTTAGGGTCGGGGCTGAGTCCATCCTAGGAACTGGAAATGATGCCGTGTGTGTGTGTGTGTGTGTGTGTGTGTGTGTGTGTGTGTGTGTGTGTGTGTGTGTGTGTGTGTAACTAGAGTCTACCTAAAAAGTGCATGGAAACAGGGGGGGTACCAGCCACGGGTTAAGAGGGTAGAGGTGGGGAGCAGTGAAGCCCCCCACCGACTCCCTGGCTTACGTGGACGCCACCCACCTGCCTGGCCCACAGGCTACGGAGAAGGCTTTGACGACGTCATCATCCAGGGGGATCTGGAAGAGCTGAAGTTTGTGGCTTTTTACACCAAGTGAGAACAATGGGTGCAGCAGGGGCGCCAAGCACCTGGAGCCTGGTGGGGAAGGGAGACATTCCAGAAAAGTTTTCCTCCTGGGGAGGGGGCTTAGCCAACAGGTGGGCCAAGTGGCAAAGGAAGGCAACTGGGCAGGAGGTAAATAGAGGAAAGGTGAAAGGGCAATGAGAACTCTTACTACTACCCATTGGTCAAGCATTTTTATCCTCCCGATAGTTCTTTTAGGTGAGTGCTTTTAGAATGAAAGTTACACAAACCCTGAGTGTTGCTGAGGGCTGATGCTTCCCTAGGGAAGGCTAAAGTCTAGTCTGGGATGAAGGGAGGACTGGGTGCTCAGGACATCCTGTTGCCCTGGGCAAGATCCCTCCCCAAGTTCTTGGTGGACAGGAGGGTGCCAATATTCAAAATGGACATGGCCATTGAAGTGGAGGTATGGTTCAAGTGGTAGAACATCAGCTTTGAGCAAGAAAAGGAGGGCCTGTTCTAGGCAGTCCTCAGGTCCAGCCACCCTTTCTCTACAGAGGTGACGAAGTGATTGCCGTGGCCAGCATGAACTACGATCCCATCGTATCCAAGGTGGCCGAGGTGCTCGCCTCAGGCCGTGCCATCCGGAAGCGGGAGGTGGAGTGAGTGTGGGAGGCCTTGGGGTGGGGGATTAAATCTCCTGTAGGATTGGCTCACCAGCTAACTTGGCAGCAGCTGCCTCCCTACCCCCAATCTTTCAGAACCCTTCCTCTAACTCTTGGTACCCTTCAAGTTAGGTTTCCAGGAACGCTAGGCAGTGTGGGGCATGGATCGTGAGCAGGATGGATATGTGTGCATACAGGAGGCAGAAAGGGCCAGAACAAGGCCAATGATGTGGGGAGGGGTCACGGCTAATTGCTTGGGTGATCACCAGATCTGAACTCTTAACCTATGTGGTTATGCTGAATCTAGCAGTAGATAAATGGGGAAATGCAGCTAGTGATGTTTCTGGATATGCCCTGAAGAGATATGGGATAGTTGTCTGGAGTCTGGTAGGCATCAGGCACTGGTCATTACCTTCAACCCAGCCTGGTGGCAATAATAGTCCACTGTGGCTCAACATGTGTGCAGAGAAAAGTTCTCAGGGACTGGGGAAAAAGAATACTATGGGGCTGGAGGCCATGCGATAGATAGGTCTTAAGCTGAAAACAATGGAGGATCAACAGTAGACATGATGAATAACATGGTCTTTTCCTGGCCTTCTGTTTCTCTTTCTTGCCTTCGCAAAGGTTGTTTATGCTGCACAGCAAGTACGTGTGTCCTCTGTCCTTCCCAATGACCATTCTAAGCCTTTCCCACCTCAGCCCAGAACCTCCACCCAGTGATCTACCCTTCCTCTACCCAAGTATATTTCCCTGATGGGCACCAGGATCTGGCACAGAGCAGGCCTCTTGCTATCATGAAGATAGCCTCTGGGCTATCATGATGCCCAGAATGGGAATCTACTCTCTTCTGTTTTGACTCTCCTTTTCTCATTCCTGCAGGACTGGTGACATGTCTTGGCTCACTGGGAAAGGATCCTAAGCTCCTGTACAGTGGACTTGGGAAGGCACTCTGGAGCACCAGGGTCAGAAGCCAAGCCTGGGGGACAGGTGCCAATCTCCAACTTCCCAGGATCCCCCAGGGTAGAATCTGAGCCCTCCCAATGCTTGTCTTTAACTGCCTGGCTTCCCCCACCCCCACCCCAAGAGGTTGCTGATGTCTTGAGAAGATGCTGATCCCCCAAGGCCTCAGCTGCCATTGACAGCTGGTACTGCAAAAAGAATAGGCTCTGCCTCTTCTCCCTCTTCTGGTCCCCAGGAGGTCCCTATGACTTGCTAGAGATTATCTTAAAATTAAAATGCACACATTTGAAGATCGGTGTGACTCCCCGTGTAATTGGGCCAATACTCAAGAGGGAAAAGGAAAATTATAGGGAAAGCAAAGAAGTTAGGCATCTGAGTACCCAGGAGGCAGCAACAGATTCCCTCCTGTCTGCAATGTCAAGGAAAACTAGTAAGTGATTTTGCATCAGGATTTTGAAGAAATGGCCCTCCAAGTAGAAGGGACAGCACATGAAAAGGGCTTGAGATAAGAAATTCTTCATAGGTGGGAGGCAGTTTACGTCTGACTTTTGGGGAATTGTAGAATCTAGGTCCTGTCACACCATGCTACTTATATAGGCGGAGCTTTCTGAACCCATGTCACAGGTGAAGAAGCGAAGTCTGCTATTAAATGTGTGTGCGTGTCTGGGGAAATTCCAGAGGCTCGGCGACCTGCTGCTTCCCAGCCAGGGGGCGAGGGAAGCCACGTGGGACCAGGGATAAGTGGGTCAAGCAGAACGAGGAGAGTCGCACTGCAGTCGAGCTCGGAACCCGCCAGCCGGGATCCTGGGATCGACGGAAGATGCAAGCGGTAGTTACGTGCAGACAGGCATGCCGGGAACCTTGGGTCCGAAGCCGCTGAGCATCCGCAGGTGGCCTGAGGCTGGCAGGCTCTGGGAAGTCCCAGTGTTGGGACGCCGCGTTTGCTTTGACCAGAAAGGCTTCCCGGAATGTTATGAGCTCGCAGCCAGGTTCCGCGCTGGGCCGCAGTACCTTAATTAGTAAGCTTATCCGGAAGTGTGGGATGCCTGAAGTGGGACACCAGCCGGAAGTGCCACGCCATTAGAGCAGAGCTTGCTGGGAAATGTGGTTCTTCTGGGCTGCCGGGGCGGTGGCCGCAAATCCTGCGGACCCGGTGGCCAGCCCGGAGTGGACCCGACATGGCTGGGCCGGGTGGCTCCGGGGGCCCGATAGGGGCCGGGGCCCTGGCAAGTGGGGCACGCTCCAAAGTAGCTCCGAGTGTGGATTTTGACCACAGCTGCTCAGACAGTGTTGAGTACCTGACGCTCAACTTCGGGCCCTTCGAAACAGTGCATCGCTGGCGGCGCCTCCCACCCTGCGACGAGTTCGTGGGTGCCCGGTATGGCGAGGTGGAGGAAATTCTGCGGGCACGGGGAGCGGGGATGTCATTTGGGGCGGTCTTAGGGCGGGGTCTAGGGACGAGACCCAGAGGTGTTAGTTTGGAGTAAGATCTGGTATTGGGCTAGTTAGTGATGGCTGGAGCAGAGGAGGAAGTCCCACAGGTGGTGACCCTGGGCAGGATACTAGAACTGTTGTGTCTCCCGTTTGGGTTCAACAAATTGTGCGGTGGGGTGGGACATCCAGGGTGGTGTCAGACACCCCCACGTGTAGGTTCCTTGAGAGTAATTTAGGATTTTGTTCTGCACATCTTGGTAGTGGAGAGGTGTCATCCATCTTCTGTGGCAGACCCATGTGCAGTCCTATTCTTTGGATGCTGCCCACTTGGGTACTGGCCTCAGTACTCTCCACACTTTCTTTCATTCTAGGCGCAGCAAGCACACGGTGGTGGCATATAAAGATGCCATCTACGTTTTTGGTGGAGACAATGGGTGAGTCTGAGCATCTGGGTTTTTAGACCCTATAGAGAGAAGTCTTGTGGTCCGAGACGGCCTGCAGAGCGTCACTGCTGACCTTCTAGACATTAGCTAAGCACTGAAAACCCCAGCTTTTACACCTGTGAGGTTCTCTGCACTTACCTTTCAGATCATAGTAAAAGTTAAAATAAGACCCTGCCCTCCACCCCTTCCCTCTGAACTTTGTCCATATGTGCACCTTACAGCCAAATGATAGAGAAAACACAGTTTTATTTTCTGCATGTTTGACTTATGAAGGTTTTACCTGCATTGCTATAAACTCCTGGCAGATCAAATGACCTGATATTCTGTTGGTGGGCACACTCCATTCACATGAACTGCCACCAGTTAACTTGAGGCTGGTTTCTTTGTGTTAAGGGTTGGTCCTACCCATAAGTCCTAGTCCCACCTTTCAGTCCCAGTACCTGGCCCAAAGCCTAGGAAAATCACTGCAACCTCGGTCCTGGTGGTGAAGAGGTTGTTGATTTGGGATGGGATGGATATTCAGGACTGTATCAAGACTTGCAGACTGGGCAGAAGGGCCTGATTCCCTTACATAGCCCATCTTCACAATTTTTACCTAAGAGCAGGCACAGTGACACATTTGTGAATGCAAATCAGAATGTGTGTTTTTTTTTTGGCACATATCCCTGGATATCTCCCAACCTCTGATTAAAAGCTCAGGACTCGTGACTGTTAGTGAGGCTTACATACATGTACACTCACTGCTCCTCGGCCCTGTCCCTTTGTGGCCCCAGGCCACTCTGACTGCCTTACTACACTTAGAGTTTCAACCCTCCTGCACAGCCTTTTGTACTATTTCCTCCTTCCTATACTTTTTCCTTCTCTTTTGATGTTCTTTGTAAGAACTTTCCCTGGCCCCTAGTCTCTGATCACCTCCATTTGTCCTCTAAGACACACAGATATTGGTTATAATCTATCATCTCTGCTAAGGCAAAGTCTGTGCTCTCTTCTGGCTGTGTGGCAGCCCTGGTACCCACATCAACTGGGGGGGGGGGCTCCTTGTGGTCACCACTTCTGTCCTTTGGTTATTGGCTGATTGCCTAGCATTGGCTAGGTCCAGGAGTTAGTGAGTCAGCCTGCCGTTCCTGCTGACCCCACCCCCACCCCAGGTACATATTGTGCCCATCTCCAGGGTCATATCCCCGGATATGCCCTGGGACAATATCCTACAAAGCTTATGTACCCAATGCAACCTTCTCTCTGGCTGCCTTTCAGAAAGACAATGCTCAATGATCTTCTACGGTTCGATGTGAAGGACTGCTCTTGGTGCAGGTAGGCAGCCCCCTTGTGAGCCAGGACTCTGCCATTCCTTCCAGAATCCAGTGGTAGGCTGGGTTGACTTAACAGAGTTAGCTTATTATGGAGAGCCAGAGACAAGCATGGAAGAGAGACAGGGCCCCTGGGTGTCAAGCCCATAGCTTCTTAGTGCTCTTTTCCCTCTCCTGGGTGTCTGTCCCTGACACAAGTACAGATTATTTTGAATCCTGTTAACTAAGGGAGGGTGTCTATTTGGTCCAGTTGTAGACCCCCAAATTCTGACCATACAGAGCCCTTCAATCACCAGACCTTCTCTTGAGTCGGGGGCTGCTATGAGATCTGATCAGGACAAGGATGAGCTGTGACTAGTGAGTTTTTCCAGGATTGATTCTGTACCAGTAAAGAATGTCACCAAGAGGCTGGCAGAAATGCTTCCTGTCTTGTCTTTGCCCCATGTGGCCCATCATCTGTCAGGAGACCCACACAGGCAGTGGACAACATATAAACCCTCTCCACCACCCTCCCACAGATGCCCTCTTCAGCTGTGTGGCTTTGGGCAAAAGATAGATTCCCTTTGTGCTCAGCTCAGCAGCCCTATCTGGAAGCAGCTCATAGTTTACAGGGACTTACTAGGCTGAAGGGGCAGAAAATACTGGGCTTCCTAAGCAATACCATCTAGTTACACAGAAACACAGGCCTATACTTTGTGCTGTTACACTCTGGTCTGTAGAATATCCTCTTGATTTCCAACAGCCCTTTGGGATGAGGTCTCATTGTCCCCATTTGGCAGAGGAGTATTTCGGGGCTCAGAATTATGCAGGACCCTTCCTCACTGGCTGTCACCCACTCCTGCGTAGGAACACTGCTCTGGGCAACAGTGACTGCCTTTTCTTTCACAGTCAACTTTATAATAAAACTACTTTTTTTTTTTGTTGTTGTTGTTGTTGTCAGTTCTGGGGCTTGAACTCAGAGCCTGGACACTGTCCTTGAGCCTCTCTGTGCTCAAGGCTAGTACTCTACCACTTGAGCCACAGCACCACTTCTGCCTTTTTCTGTTTATGTAGTACTGAGGAATTGAACCCAGGGCCTTATGCATGCTAGGCAAGTTCTCTACCACTAAGCTACATTCCCAGCCCCTACAGCTAACTTTTTTTTTTTTTTTTTTTTTGGTCGGTCGTGGGGCTTGAACTCTGGGCCTGAGCACTGTCCCTCAGCTCTTCAGCTCAAGGCTAGCACTCTACCACTTGAGCTACAGTGCCACTTCTGGTTTTCTGAGTGTTTATTGGACATAAGAGTTTCATGGACTTTCCTGCCCGGGCTGGCTTTGAACCGCAGTCCTCAGATCTCAGTCTCCTGAGTAGCTAGGATTACAGGCATGAGCCACTGGCGCCCAGCTCTATCTTTTAATGAGTAACTTTTTCAGCACTGAGGATCAGATTCAGAGCCTTGTGCATACTAAGCAAGTGCTCTACCACAAACTGCATCTCAACTTTTTTTTTGGGTCCGGTCATGGGGCCTGAACTCTGGGCCTGGGCGCTGTCCCTCAGCTCTTTAGCTCAAGGCTAGCGCTCTACCACTTGAGTCACAGCGCCACTTCCGGGTTTTTTCTTTTTTGTTTATGTGGTGCTGAGGAATTGAACCCAGGGCCTCAGGCATGCAAGGCAAGTGCTCTACCACTGAGCCAACTTCCCAGCCCTGCATCCCAACTTTTGACTAAGTTGTAAAAATCACTGTGAATACTTCACAATTCTTTTTTTTTTTTGGTCGGTCATGGGGCTTGAACTCTGGGCTTGGGCGCTGTCCCTGCACTCTTCAGCTCAAGGCGAGCTCTCTACCACTTGAGCCACAGAACCACTTTCGGTTTTCTAGTGGTTTATTGGAGATAAGAGTCTCACGGAATTTCCTGCCTGGACTGGCTTTGAACCGTGATCCTCAGATCTCAACCTCCTGAATAGCTAGGATTACAGGTGTGAGCCACCGGTACCCGGTTTACTTCACAGTTCTTTATCAAAAATTGTTTAAGTGGCCAGTACCAGTGGCTCATGCCTGTAATCCTAGCTATCCAGGAGGCTGAGATCGGAGAACCAAGTTTCAAAGCCAGCGCAGGCAGGAAAGCCACAAGACACATGTTCAATTAACCAGCAGAAAGCCGGAAGTGTACGTATGGATCAAG